GGCATTTCGCGACGCCACCATTGGTTTCACCGCGCAATGACGTCTGAGAAACGAGCGCAGAGATTCCATACTGATGACGTGTCACTACTCAGATCTGGGTAGTGCTTCTGATTGGTTAAAGCAAATTTCCCTAGCGGCACGACCAATCAAAAGCACTACCCAGATCTGGGTAGTGATGCGTCATCGGTATGGAATTTCTGCGCTCGTTCCTCAGACGTCATTTCGCGGCGAAACCAGTGATGGCGTCGCTAAATGTAGGCTGTTCTCTCAGGCTATACAAAAACGGTGAACAGTAATTTTTACCTGGATGTGAAAATCACGACAAATGTATAGGTTGTTGTTGTTGTTTTTTTTTTCTATTTAGAGCGAGCTGTTCCCAGCAGATGACGTATCATCGCCCCATTGAGGGCTTTGAAGATGACCGAAAAAAGAAAAAAAAGACTTGAGGAATAGGTGCAGATTCCTTGAAATATGAATATGCATTCGTTTGAATGGCAGTATTAAATAGAATGCGATTGAAGTAATGAAATAACCCAAGTCACCAGTGTCAGACTGGGAGAGCCTTGTAAATCCTTATTGATGATTTAATTTTGAACACAAAGTTAAGTCTCCAAACTGTGGTTAGAATTTCAGAATATCCACGGCTATTTGGCCACATTTTTTTAAAACACACCGTTTGACATCATCCACAACCTATAACTAACCAGATGTACGGCAAAATTGCATCCATTTATTCCAATTTGAACTTGAATCTCACATCTTTATAAAGATCCACCGCTTTAGGCTTCCAAGCCTGTTTAAAACCTCACAATTGACAGGTTGTTTAATACCACATTGCACGACTCATGGTAAAATTTGTGGAAGTGAACTTTAGAGCACAAAGAACATTTTTGTCTTCCCTTTCAACTGTTTGCTTCACCATAACGGACCCTTTTCTCGTGAGTTACTAGATACATGCGTTTGTTTATGAAAAAAAACGTCGTTCATGTTCCTTTTTTATTAAGCTCGGACTTTTCTCATTGTCTCAAGAGTAAACAAATTATGCCCCTTTCGTTTGGCAATAGTCTTCCTCCAGTGAGTAAATTAGTTTAGTGAATAATACCCCATTCTTGCGTATTATGAATTTTTAGTCAGTGCGGAATGATGTTGACCTAACATATGCAGGCGTGGATCTAGGATAAATATTGACCGATTTCCTAAACGAGCGCCAAAGGCTCCGGTTTCTGTGGGGTCCTGGACTCCGGAGGCATGCTCCCCCTATATTTTTGTGGATTTTTATACCTCCCTGAAGTCCCCTTTCGTTGGTTTCGGAGTCACACCGACAGGATATTGACCAGTTCCATTCTCCTCGGATGAAGCCTTGCAAATCGGCGGACTATTTCACCAACTGAGGTCAATTTCCATATGTTAATAGATGCGAAACAAGGCGAGTCCAAACCATTTTTCAGATTTCACCTTGGAAAGTTTTAAAACTATATTTATTATGAAAAATCCGACTCATCTCAAAAAACGGTGAAAACCGGTATGGATCCACGCCTGATATGTATTGTCGCGATGTCAGTCTTTAGTTGTTAATAAATAAATAAATAATTGAATAAATAAATGAAAAGGCGCCTTAAAAATTTTTAATTATTATTATTGTTATTATTATTATAAATAAATAAATAAATGACCAGAATTACACTGCGCACGAGAATTTGCGGAAAGCTTTATATTTATTCGTGAAGAAAGAATATTGACTTGTATATTTTTTAAGCCGTGTATAGAGGTCAGTATCAATACATGCACACGCGTATCGTTGCCTATGCGAGGATAATTTTTTACAATATATGAATAAATTCTTTTGTTTGCCTTTTTTTGAAAAATAGGTGAAATAAAATGTTTGATTTATTTTACGTTTTGTGTCATTCCATTTGTTGAATTCAGAATAATAGTTAACAATTATTCCTCGAGCCCGAATGGACTCTGAGTCAAAAGCCCATGAGGACTATCGGCCTTCGGCCTCATGGGCTATTGACTCAGAGGCCATGAGGGCGAGAGGAATAATTGTTTTAGTAAAATCCAACTAGTTGGTCAAAAATATCGAGACAAAGCAACTTAAAACAAGACTTTAATCCTTTTTTGCCAACAAAAATCCGGCGCTTTTCGCTACTAGTGGGCTCTAACATATAGCCTAGTAGTAGCTCAACCAATCAGAACACAGCATTGATAATAGACCACTAGTTGGATTTTACTAATTTAGGTAAACTAGTCTGTAAACAGGACCCCCCTTTTCATTTCCCCGTGTGCTCGTCCCTTCTAGCTTACTATACAAAAGAACCTTTTCACCAGTTAAGGTACTGACCAGCATGGGCCAGTCGGGTTCAAAAGGTGGCTTCTAGCGCTACCCACTGGATAAATCACTACTACTACTTATCTACTGAATAGCGATTTATCCGGTGGATAGCGCTATCCACCTTTTGAACAACCATGGCCAGCTCTTCAATTTATGTTCACACAAGGTGACTCCTTCCAGGCTTCCATGCGTACATAGCCTGTTCCAGGCTCCGAGATAGTTGGGTTCGCTGAATTGAGAAAGTGCGAACACGCAAAAAAAAAAGGGAGGAAACACTTTCGCGTCTTCCTCACTATCTAAGAGCCTGGAACAGGCTAATGCGTACACGAGTTAACATCACGATAAATTCGTTGGTTGAAATCCAAGATCGAAAAAGTCACAATATGACGATGGGGAACTCGTGGGTATAGATGTTCTAGAAAGCAGAGATGTCAGTTGACAAAAGAAAATATTTATTGTTTTTTGCCAAAACCGCCCCTCGTATCTTACAAAACAGGTCGCTCATAGACATACTCGTGAGAGCCAAACTATTAAAAGGCTATTTTAAACAGGCGCTGGGGAGTCGTGTAGGCCTGTCAACCCCATTTTACACTGTGAATGTCTCACTTTTCCTGCGACAACGTGCTTTCCGGATACAATGCAACCTTGAATACTCGTAATGGATCCTAAGACCATGAAGTTGTAGGCCTCCAAACTCTTGTATGTCTTAAACTGCTGTTTGTTGTAAAAATTCGTTTCCAGCACCAGGTAGCTTAGCAAATCCGTCGCTTCGATCGGAGGAAGGCACTCAGAGTTACTGTTCATCGGGAATGGTGACAAATTACAAAGAGTTTCTATAGCTTGATGGGTGAATGGTACATTCGCATATCACGTATGCATGGATGGTATTTCCAACAGTACACATGTCTCTTCACTATGACTGTTATGATCTATCTCTAGCATGAGAATCAAATACTTTATATCCCCCAGCCTCAATGCTGTAGATACCCACACCAATAATTGCCACCGTTAAAATGAATGAGTTGTAGTTCAGTGCCAAGAGTGTTTCAAATGCTGTACCCTGTGAGTGGCATATACAGTAATGATACCCCTCAATTCTGGGATCACCATGGATGTTATTAGAGTATTGACGTACCCTGTGTTTGTGCTGTAATCTCTTGTAATCCCCGCGGGTGGTACTCCCTATGATGGCCTTTACGGAGAGGCTCCGCCCGAAAGGGGTACCTTTTTCAAGCTTCAGGTATATGAAAGGGTAGAGATTTCACTCATTGAAGTATATAAAAGGGAAGAGAAATCTGTCATTTGGGTCTGTGAAAGGGCCCGAAAGGGCTAAGACGAGGAAACGTTCTCTTTTTGTGATTGATTCCTATTTAAAAGACAGTGCATTTACAGCAGTTAAAAGGGATGCAAGGTTCTAAACAAGGTATGTGAAAGGGGTACCATTTGTCAATAGAAGGTATACGAAAGGGGTACCTTTTTCGTGAATAATGGCATATAAAAGGGTAAGGGATTGGACCTCGGCGCGGAGCCTTCCCGTATAAACTGACATTTGTTGAGTAACCCCCCGGGCTTGTAATCTGAAAATCAAAAGTTGTATTCCTCAAACGAGTTTCAGGCATGCATCATTCCGTGCATTTTATATGTTAAAATGACAAATTTTACTGATTATGATTACATACTGTGACTGAAGACTGTGCAGTATCTTAACACACTCCTGACACTCACTCACCCATTTCAGGACGTATTGAAACGAGCATCGTAGGCTTGGGTCCCGCAGTAAGCGGGACGGAGTCCTAACCGAGATCGTACAGTGCAGCACTTATAAAAACTGAGCATCGTAGGCTTGGGTCGGTCAGGACTCCGTTCCGCGTGCTGCGGGAGATCGTACAGTACCACCACAGCAAATATCCGAATGTTGGGTTGTAACTTCTACCACACACTGCCCGGCCAAAAATATTGTCGACAGGACTGTTTATTACGTGTCTCAAAATAGAAAAAAACTATATAAGTCCTAATCATGTTAATATTGGTTTTAAATTTTGACACGTTGACAATGAGTTGCTGGCGCGCATCCCAAGTGGGGGAGGGTGTGGCGACACGTAGGGTATAGTGTTTTATACGCACACAGGCGACAAAAATCGTCCAGGGGATCAGAAAAAATGAAACGAACGAAACTCATTCTACAGTCCTCCCCTAGTTGGGAAGTCACATGGAGAAGACACGGTACTTTGATTGGAAGAAATGAAAACGCGTGCGAGGACACTGCAACGCTACACACCGATCACACCGAGGGCGCGATCCATTCAACCAAACTTTCCGGAAATTTCGGTCCAAAACTCAATGGATCGGTTCGGCCCAACCGGAAAAGTTTCGAAAAAACGGGTCCACCTTTTGAGGTGGTCCTCTTTTCCCGGTCGGACCGGTTGGAATTTCTGTTGCCAGTGGATCGCGCCCCGAGTAACCTTTTATTTTCCGCGCGTTAAGGCCATGTGATCAAGATTCTCCAATCAGCGTATGGAAACCAGTCTATCTCTTTCGAGCCTTCTTGTACACATATGGCGGATGGTGGGCAATAGAGGGAGATTCAACTCCGTGTTCATTCGTTTATTCGGAGGGAAAACACACCTTTCTGGAGGGAAAAGCACTTAAGAATACCTGACCATTTATGCGGTTGATTGAAGTTAAAGAAAGACCCAGAGTTTTCGAGGAACAGGCAAGAATTCAATCATCGGAGAGCGATGCACGTGAAGAAGAGGTTCTGGCGTGAAAACACGATGTAAGTTTTTAAATAGACTTACTATTGACTAGTGTATTTTGTTATACTATAACTGTAAGCTTAAATGGGCGTGCTTTCTCGTTTTTATTTTTTATTTCTACTCAAGCTTAATATACATCTACCTTGCCTGCGAGAGCATCCGGTTTATTAGAGGCAACGAACGCAAATACCGTATTTATTCGATTAACCGCCCAGGGCCCAGTTGCTCGAAGCATGGTTAGCGTTAACCAGCGTTAAATACCTTGACAACATATTGGTTTTGATACTGCTTAAACAATGGATAAAACTAACCATGCTCTGAGCAACTCAGCCCCTGGGCGCTTATTAAATTTTTGGATCTTGAGAGTGGGCGCCTATTCGAGGTGGGCGCTTATTCGAGGCTGGGCGCTTATTAAATTTTCACCATTTTCAGCAAGTGAACTACGCTTATTTTGCAACAAAACAATAAATGCTAATAACAAAATGCGAAGAAGTAACAAAGCAAGGTTTCTGTAAAATACTCTGAAAAAAACTCTGTCCTCGGGGAAGTCTCTTATTAGAATTTATTGACTCAAGACCCGTTGACCTTGTCTGTGACGTAATTGGAAAATTGATAATTTAGGCGTCTCCGATATCACTGGAAGTGAAACGGGTCTCCAATAATTATTGTCTTATTTATTTAACTCAAAATTACATCAAGCGTTCCCTTACCCGCCCAAATGACTTTCGAAAACTTTGTGTTCCTTTGGACTCTAGAATTTCGCCTAGTGTCTCCGCGCCGTCGAAATCGCCTCTCCATGCGATGGATCAAGCAAGGACTTTCTGTTTTGATGTGATAATTTCTGCGACAATCTTTGCCAGACGAAAATCTGCAGGCGGTAACAGGATTGGCTTAAACCAACAAAGGAAATTGCACGCGTCCAGCCGCTCTTTCGGGGGATGAGTGTGGGCTCATTTTCCCGAACAGCGGCTGGTAATCGAGCCTACGGTTCGCAGGCTTCAGCTGTAACATATACTGAGCACTCTAAATGCGAGATTTCTTATTTTAAGGAAAAAACAAATCAAAGAAAAAGATTTTGTTCTTGCAAATTCAAACTGCCTGTTTATTGTCCTATGATTTGTTTTAAATTTTCTTGTAAAATAAGAAAACTTTTTAATAAAAATGAGAGATTCGGAGCAATCTTGAACTTACATATAGAGTGAAATCCTTTGACTTGACTTGACTTCAAGTTTCCTGATGAAAGTATACCGCAGGGAAGCCAAGTTCGGTGTATAAATAATAATAATAACTAGGATATGTTTGTTAGGCATACAGGTAGCAGTTGAGGGGGAGGGTTGGATGGTTATTGCGATAGATTAATTTGATCCTGGCATATTTTAAACGTAAGGATTGCTTACAGCGAAACCTCCATTTAAACTGTGTATCATCATGAAAAAGTCTTAAAGGCTAGTGATATCGTATGGTTCGTCTCAACAAGTGCAGTAATTTGGTCGAGTGTGTTGATTTCAGTGACTTACACAACTTGGTAGAATTACTTTGTGGCACAACGGCTGCCGAAACTTTTGGAAGATGAACACTTTGAAAGATTTAGCAAACACAGATCGATAGTTGACTTTCAGCAAACTCTTGAAATATGTACGCTTTACGAAGGTTCAGCAAACTTTTAAAAGATGAACGCTTTACGAACACAGAATGGCAGACCTCAGCAAAAGTTTGGAAGATGAACGCCGAGGACACACATATCAGCATGTGAGTTAACGCATCAAAGTGAGGCAAAATGTAAGCAAGCACCCCAAAGTGAGGCAAATGTGTATTGATACAAATATGCAATCTAAAAAACCTCATTAATGTCTCTGCTCCTTTATGATGCATGTTAAAGGCGAAGTGACTTACTTATAAAACCAATAATGACAACTTGGCGATAATGGGGGAGCACTGCCTTACGCTAGGTTAGCCTGTGCGACTTCCCGCAATGGCGTGAGCAAAGAACCTCACTTATCTCCCCAGCACTACGAGCTGAATGCAAGACAGCATGTACTGGATCGGACAATAGTATCGGTTTGCAGGCGACATTAAACGGCAATGCAGCCAACAAGCTTGGGGGAAGTCGCTGCGCAGACTTAACCGCACTGCAAGGAGTGTCCCTAGTTTATTTGATGGCATAGCACAAAACAAAGCCCAAACCTCGTCTCCAAAGGGAGGGAGGGAGGGAAAAATTTTACATGAATAGTATACTGAGCGCTTAAACCTTCATGAACACTGGAACCCAAGTGAACTCTGAACAGTCTTTCTAGGCTTTTATAGCTAGACGAATGTCTGCTGGCATAGCCAGTAGAAAAGGCTGTACTACAAGACAGCTCAGCGTTGCATGTGCAAACTCTTAGCCATGAATAGTGCTTTGAAAATATTGGCCAATGCTGTGGCTCNTAAAAAACCTCATTAATGTCTCTGCTCCTTTATGATGCATGTTAAAGGCGAAGTGACTTACTTATAAAACCAATAATGACAACTTGGCGATAATGGGGGAGCACTGCCTTACGCTAGGTTAGCCTGTGCGACTTCCCGCAATGGCGTGAGCAAAGAACCTCACTTATCTCCCCAGCACTACGAGCTGAATGCAAGACAGCATGTACTGGATCGGACAATAGTATCGGTTTGCAGGCGACATTAAACGGCAATGCAGCCAACAAGCTTGGGGGAAGTCGCTGCGCAGACTTAACCGCACTGCAAGGAGTGTCCCTAGTTTATTTGATGGCATAGCACAAAACAAAGCCCAAACCTCGTCTCCAAAGGGAGGGAGGGAGGGAAAAATTTTACATGAATAGTATACTGAGCGCTTAAACCTTCATGAACACTGGAACCCAAGTGAACTCTGAACAGTCTTTCTAGGCTTTTATAGCTAGACGAATGTCTGCTGGCATAGCCAGTAGAAAAGGCTGTACTACAAGACAGCTCAGCGTTGCATGTGCAAACTCTTAGCCATGAATAGTGCTTTGAAAATATTGGCCAATGCTGTGGCTCGTACTAGCCTGCTTAAGACAACAAGGCCATAAAGTTCTACGCTAGAATACAATGCATCTTAGAGCTCGCTTACCTTGACAACCTGACTACACAATTGCTTTGTTGAAAAAGAACCGCCATGAATGGGTTACTGATAACTGGCGTCACGTTCCCTTAACTACATTTTACTGGCGTGACAGTAAAATTGCTTTTTATTTATTGCACAGGACGCCCAATAAAGTACAAAACACCCAACAGAAATTAGAGGTTGCATTCTCGTACCTCAAACGCAATAGCAAGGGGTTCCATATCGGAAGTGAAGTGCTGCTCCATGTAGAAAGATAAAAGGCTTGGACAGGCAGTAATTATTAATAATTTGGGTTCCTTAGCAGTGCTCGAACTTAACAGTTGTCCACTTGTCTTCCCCACTAGTCCTCTGGACAAGCAAAGTTATCACTCTCTGAGAAATACGTGTTTTTTTTTTGTATCATACCAAAAGGTGCTAAAACGGCCTTGAAACAAACAAAGAATTGCCAAAGAAAGACAAATTTTAGAAAATGAACAGGCAAAAATGCTGAATAAAAGTCTGGGTTCTACTCAAGAAACAAAATGCACTGTGGGATACAAGATGGCCGCTTTTGTAATTATTTCATTTTGAAGGTCCTTATCCATTTTTCTTTGGTGAATTAAAACATGAGCCAAACTATGTTGAAACGGAAACAAGTACAAGGCCCACTGTACACTTTCTTTGTCCAGAGGAAAGCAATAGTCTGATGATAAAGAAAGTAACACAGCATCTGAAACACCTGCTTTGACCAAAAAAACATGCAAGTTACCAGGAGGCATGGAAGGAAAATACAAATGGCCAAGGTTTGAAGAAAGGGAAAACAAAATGTTCTGCGAGACTTGTAGGGAATTTCCAAAAAGGAAAAACTTGCAATACTCCCGAGGATCGGAACAAATAATTTCCAAACAGACAGCCTGAAAGCACATACATGTATCATGGGGCCAGTGAAGAACATGCTTTGATCAACGTTCAAGAAAATGGAATTTCTTTTAACACAGCATATTACATGTAAATTGTATATTTAAAACTTCTGTTTTTTATCTTCCCACAGTCGTGTTCATTGCAAAGAAAGAATGGTTTGACCCTTGGAAACACATACATGTACATGAATAATCACGCATGTAAAGAGATTTCTAAACATATCTCTCATTTCTTCAAGGTAGATCTCGTAAATTTGTATCTATTATGGTTGATGGAGCAACAGATGTCTCATGTTTAGAGTTAGAAATTGTGTATGCAGGGTTCGAAATGACAACACAACAGTTGCAAAAAGAAAGCCAGAAAAAAAACTGTAAAAGTTGCATCTATAACTGCGATGATGTACTTTCATATAATTCTAATTCACCCCACAGTTCACATATAACGATCTGCTCCCAGTTTGCTTGTAATTTGTAAGAGTGCTGCACCGGTATCACAGAGGTCAAGGGTTCGAATCCTGTACAAGCCTGAATTTTTTTCAGTCTTTCTTTTTGCAACTGCAAAAAATTGCGTCTATAACTGCAATGATCTACTTTCCTGTAATTCTTCACCCCAAAGTTCAAATATATGATTTTCATATATTTATTACTTAATTATAAAGTTATTACAATCCTTAGAAACTATTTCTGTGCTCAAAAGGAGTGGGAAAGAAAGTCATGGCATTGTGAAGGGATTAAAGGGCATCCAACACCAAGTGATGCCATTAGCTGTGGAGTGTATATCATACATGTAAAGGTGTGTTTAAAAGTAGACTGGGAAAACAGCTGACATTTTGCAATGCAACCACTTGTTTCCCCATGAAATGACATCTAAAAGTGAATGCTGAAATTCCATACTGATGATGCATCAGTACCCGGATCTCAATAGTGCTTCTGATCGGCTGAAGTAAATTTACCACCCAGTATGATCAATCAGAAGCATGACCCAGATCTGGGTAGAGACACATCACATATCAGTGGTGGTGTCACAAAATGTCAGCTGCTTTCTCAGGCTAGTTCAGAAAATTAAATTATAGATTTTTATATTGTATCTGTTTCATAATTAAAATCTTACTTTCAGTGCTCTTCTCACTTTTATTTTAGAGTGCTGAAATGTATTGCCATAAAAAAAAGGACTGATGGAAGACTTAAAAGTGTCGTTTTGTCTTTGCTGCAGACGGTGGCTCATGACCTTACCAATATTCTGCATGAGAATTGAGGCCCTAAGTTGGGGTCGCTGAAATTACAAAAAAATATTCTCTTAAAATTATAAAAAAAAAGAAGAAAAGAGAAAATAAAAAGAGGTGAAGTCCATAAGTAGTAGTTTTAGGAGAGAGTAGCTCAAGAGACAAAACATAACTACCCTGTAGACTATAGGATATAGACTGAAGAATAAACATAAAATTATTTCTTAGATTACCTGGATAGCAGGTAAAAAACAAGATCTTGTACAATGTAATTTAAACCTATCAACAACAGATATGAGCATCAGGAATGGTGCCTGAAGAAGATGGAGTTTCAAGACATGTAGCACAGCCAAACGCGTAGGAAATCCATGACAACCCTGTGAGTGGCAGCCACCACACAAAACAGAGGAGAATAAAAATTGTTATGACATACATGTACTTATGGAGAACTATAATCCTGTAAGAGAAATCTAAGAATTTTCTCATTAAAGGCATTCATCTTTTCAGTTTTATGTGCACCACAAAAGTGCCATAGGCTTTGAAGAAATAATACCGAATAACAGTCAATGTTTGTTCAAAGTTGATATCGATGTTTTATGTCATTTTTGTTTCACCAGTGACTTTTAAGTAAGAGAATTTGTAAGGTTCATTGATGACAGGGGATGTTCCCTTTAAGGTAAGCTTAGAATTACATATGCATAAATCATTTTCAAAGCTAAGTACTCAAATACGTTTTATTAGCTATTATAAATTCCATCATTACAAGTGATCTAGTTTGGCCACTGAAATGCCTATGAGGACCAGTGCTAAGCAACAACAGAAGTTGAATAAATCCTTGTTAAAAGACCTATCATACTTCAATTTCAGAGGTACATGTAACTTAGTCTTTGCCCATGGCCAATTTATTAATTCCCTTAACAGTGAGCTCCCGACTAGAGGAGATCGAGCCATAAACAGGGCCTTCATTTTCATGATATTAATAGTGCAAAAGTGGTAGCGGGACAAGTGACCATTAACAGACAATTGTAACACCACAGACCAGTGATTTGGTGGTCATTAAATAACTGCTTGGTGGTTTGGCAGTTGGATATAAAACTGTAAAATGTTTGAATCCAGGAGTCATTTGATAAGTAGGTGGAGCATGATCGCCTGCAGGGTGGACATACACCTGCTGTATTCCTGAATAGGACTGTTGTTGACAGTGACTGACATTTCAGCACCCTGTGTGGTATTCATTTTCAGAGAAAATACTATCAACTGACATGATACATCTCACTTTGACTCTGGTTATTGACCTGACTGGTCAATTAAGTTGCAATGTTAAATGTTGTCTGTCAGTCAACAGTCAGGCAATGATGTTATTGGCTATGAAGACTCGAATTAATATCATTCATTTTGTATATTTTTTTATTGTTCATCAAACTATCGGTTTTCCAGTCAATCCATTCTCTTGTAGTTAGTTTTGCTTGAGTTATCAATAAGTTGTTTGTACGGTGCCAGTAACTGTTGACTACATGTACGATTCAGTGACATGAGTCCCAGTTGATTTCATGTTTAGTCTGAAAAAGGTACATTTAAAAAAGGGATTGTGTTATTAATGTTTGTTTGTTTTGTTTTCCTAAGTACTTTTTAATACTACATGTATATGAAACTAAAATGTGTTACTCACATGTTTGCAACTTCATCACAAACAAAAATATTTTCCTGTGTATTCAAAGGCTCAACAGTCAAGATTAACTTTTCCTTACAAAGGGAAGTCTATAGCACACTGTTTTGATTTTGTCCTTTGGGTTCATTCCCAGTGTATGAATTGCATGACATTCTATAGGACTCTGGGAAGATTTCTCAGTCTTGAGAGTCAAAATCAAGTCCGCCTTCCTTGGGGTTGGTGGGAGGTTAGTCTTAAGCTCATTCCAATTGGAAATTACCTTTTTTCTTTAAAGGTGGTTTATTTTAGTAAAAAAAGCACTTTATTTGAGTGTCAATGTATTTAGCATGAAAGTGCTAATTGGGGACCCTATTTTTATGTCTCCTGCTGGAGACGGACGGCCATTTTACATGGTCATCAGAGCAATGTGAAGCTATTTGCAGGGCAAAGGCAGTACCTTCATTTCTCAGTCATGTTAAGACCCTGAGTGTTGGTCTGGTCCCAGGAATCAAACCTGCGACCTCCCGCTCTGTAGTCAAGCACTCTTACTGAGCTAATCCTGTTGTGGTGTAGTAATACAATAATTCATTTTATTTCAGAGGGAAGTGCGATGTGAATTTGGTGAAATGGACCAAAAAGGTGAGTTACTGTGTATGGAGCTATTTTCATGATAACGGAAAGACTTTCATTGTGGAATGAGTCCATATTAGTTTTGTTTACAAGATACTGAACAACATTCCATTCTTGTGTACAAGTAATTGCACTTTGCACAAATGATGTCACAATTTCTAGTCCCTGAACCAACATTGAACCAACCTGATCAGTATAAGAGTTTTGTATGGGAAAGTCACATTTGCCAACAATTTATCGTTGTCTTTGAAGATTTTTATTGTTAAAAGAAGCAAAATTCAACTTGGTTTCAATAACATATATCTAAGGTGACAAAACCTATTTTACATGTAAGTAATATTTCAAAGTGCTATTCCACAATGAGTCCATTCCACTTTTCAATGACAAATGAAATTCTTATTCTGGCTCACACAGCATTTTTTCTTTTCCCTATTATTTTTGCGGCTCCATTTATTGTTTTTTCACGGTATGCATTTCTTTTTAGTTCTGCTTTGTGGTTAGCCATGTTTTATCTACAGCTGTAGCTCTGTGATTTCTCCACTGTTACACCCTTAAATGGGAAAGAAATTACAGTGTAATTGATTTTATCTTGCTTTAATTTGTTGCCATTGGCTGTACATGTAGTTATGCGCAAAGCACTCTATTTGTTTCCTCCTGTTGTGTGAACAGAATACATATGTATTCTGCGCTAAAACGATAATAGCATTTTACAAAACAGGTGTATTGCCAACAGGAAGGATTCACTGTTTTGTGGCTTACCTACATGTAGCTATACTGTAGTTGTTTAGTTGTATAGCTTATAACATGGTGCAAGCAGTTTGTTTTCAGCACGATATAAATATGCCTGCATGTAGAGTTTCTACGCATTAGTACAGTTTCAGTAGCCACATTCACTAGTCAAGCTCGTAGGACATAGCTTTGTAGACTAGAGTTCTCCCCTCACTGGAGTGGCGCTTGCTCTTTTCTTCCCCTTTTCCTCTCTCTTTCCTTTCGTTTTCCTTGTGTGTTTTTTTTCAATTAGAGTTCTTCCTTTTTATTTTATTATTTTATTTTTATTATTTTAATGCAAATTACATGAATATTACTAAAAGTAAATGCAAAGCTTCAAATTAAAATAAAGTGAAAATGAAATGAACAAAAAATAATACTAGTAATTGCAATACGCATGCCATGAACTATTCAACTATTTTCTTTATATTTTCATAATCAGTGTGCAATGGACTAGGAACTAAAAATAAATAACAAGAAGCCGCTCACAGTGGCATTCAGTCTCGCTTGCTTGAAGATTAGATCGAGAAATATATGAGGAGGTGATTAATTCTACGCGAAACAAACAGATTTACTCACTAAATGTTTTTTACTTCCTACTTCATCGACGTCAATACTTTTTACTTGTTTCTGAATTGATTTAGTGCGTGTGTTAGCAATGACCAGTTTCAGACCAAAATCTGTGATTTTCCCTACCCTTTTCAGCCCTTGAGCCTAGCGCATGACCAGAGCGCGTGACAAGCTGTTACGACATGTACATGGTAGTCTTATTGCCAAATGATGAAGTAGCTAATTCTTATAAAAAACATTACCCAATTCAAGACTAGAGTGCACAAACCATACCCTATTTCAGACCAACACGGCTGAAAAAAACATACCCTTTGGCACTGTACATACCCATATAGCCTATATAAGGGACTCCCCCCGGGGGCAAAAAAAGCGTTGCAGATTATGAGTATCACTGCTTGCGCAAGCGAGACTAATAAGAACCTCAAAGAAAAATTCTAAGGAATATGTATTATGGGAGGTACACTAGCATTCACATAGTTAAAGAAGTTTGGCCCAATATGTGGTCTGACTAAATGAATGTAGTTTGAGCAGTACATGGGCTTTGGTTACAATTACTGCAAGTTCTCTTGATTATTAAAACGTAGGACTTTATTCGCGATGTTTACTTTGGCCATGATAATGGTTATGCCAGGATGATTCTGACTTATTAACACTGCTAAGTTTTTGTTGGTATTGTCAGAGGAAGAAACTGATCCCTCAGCGGTCTGCTGTTTTCAAACTTGGCAACCTCACTGATTTTAACCCTCTGGTGATGGCAAGAGACAAAATTAATCTTCAAAGAGTAGTAGTTTAAGAGTGAAATTGTCAATGGATTTTTCCCCACAGAGGCCACTTTTGCTTTAGACCCCCCACCCCCCTAGAATTTTCATTCCATGTGGCAGGGTTTGTACATGTCATGGAAAACCTGGAAAGTCATGGAATTTATGCATTCCATTTTGCAGGCCTGGAAAGTCATGGAATTTAATAGTCGGTCCTTGAAAGTCATGGAAAATTAAAGGTTTTGTTTGATAGCTTAGTCACTGTCAATGCCAAGGCAAGGACAATGTAAGATATAGAGAGAAGTGATTAAACAGAGCGAACAGCATGCATTTTGGTGGACACCAGAGTTTGTGTCTGTTGAACTGTTTAAGGTCCAAAAATACCATAAAACAAGGATTAAGTCCTAAAATTTTTTGAAAGTGACAGCCAAACCTAAGGTCTTGGAAAACTTAAAAAGGTCATGGAATCTGAAGAGGTTAAAAGAGTACGAACCCTGCAGGCAGGGGCTGGTTATCTAGCAACAGCTAGATAACGGGAAGTTTATTCATGAGCCGATGACAACTTTGTTAAAGAAAGCTATCGCATAAGGCGTGAAAAAAGTATTTAGCTGACCGTAGATAAAAGATGATCAATGCAAACAATAATACTTGTTTTGAAACACTGGTAACAGTAAAATAACTGATAACTTGCTCAACAGAGAAGGTGTTATTTATTAATAACTCACCAATCTCACTCAGAGCCCCCTGGAAAAAAACCTAGGTGAGTAACCCCCCTCCCCCTTGGAAATGATCCTTTAGGACCTTCCCCTATCCCCTCAGAATTTCCGTTGCCCTCCATGGGGTGGTGGGGGGTGGGTGGTTATCAATAATTTCTGGAAGTACACAATGGAAGCTTATCAGGATTGGTCATAATATCCAGACCAAAGCCGAGGTATTGTGGAAAGATCTATCTTTGCTGACGTTTTTTACCATCTTGTTACATGTAGCTTAAACTGAAAGCTAAATGGGTCAAGGGAGGAAAATATGCATGGTTCATTATAGAACAAAAATGTCCAGAGCTGTCATCAAAGGGTTAAGGTGTTATTTCCAGTATTTTTATTAACTGTTGTTATTTAAAATAAGACCATGGAAGTGTCTTTTGATAAATTAATCAACAACAATGTCAGTTTGAGTGTAGACTGAATAGTTGTTAAATTTTTCCCCAGCACCATGGATCCAACAGAGTAAGGAAGTTTGTGACTACAGACTGTGGCTGCACACTGGTGGTGAAATGTCATAATAAAGGAAGCTGCATTCAAGGACCTGTTGAGAAGTTGTCTTGGCTTCATACTAATTTTATAACAAAGCAAAGAATATTATTATTTAGTACTGACAGTGCTATCAGGATCAGAGTCAATTCTCTTTTCTCTGGGAAATATTTAATAACCATTTCAGGTTGTTATTACAAAGAGAGGCTGGTTATTTTGACAATGATCATGTGGTTCGCCTGTCCACATTAATTTACTGAAATTTATTTTATTGTAAGAGTTGGACTGATCAAGAATAAAAATGATGTCAGTCAAATTTCCAGAAATTCTCAAACCCTGTGCGGTTGGCAGCATTCATACAGCAGCTTTGTACAATCTTGAAAAGGTCTTGAAGTAAAAAGTTATTGAATTCGCTTAAGGTCTTTGAAAAGTACTGGATTCCTTTATTGGGTCTTCAAAATTCCTTGAAATTCAATACCTTGTCTACTCCACACTGTTTTCTGTGAAATTGGATTATCTCATAGAGGAAAATTTGGCTCGTCCTTGGTGTAAGAATCTGTAAACCTCACGGGTAAACATTTTTTATTTCTGTTTCCTTATTTCAAATGCTATTTCTGTACCTCAGATGCAACTTCAAGTCATACCCAGTCGTTGCAAATTGTTGTCACGTAAAGTGGTGTGGCTGAAGAAGTAAAAATGGTAACTGACTCCATAGTTCAAAAAGGGGAATAAAAAATGCTGATTTATTGAATAAGTCTTAGTGATTGAAAACTGTAATTTGTCCTTGAAAAGTCGTTGAAATTTGTTTGTCAGTTTTAATTTGCTGATGAAATGACATCACTGTTACTCTAAATCAATTTCTCTTGTTGCCACCCAACTGGAACAAAGGATTATTACATGTATTAATGATGGATGCACCGTCAAACCAAGAAATCATGGTAAAAATAATAAGAACTTGATTAAGAAACTTGGAAGGTAAAAATAATGTTAAAAGAGAAGAGAATTGATTTTCCATCATAGTAGCACTTCAAATTAGAATTTAACGATATAGTTGCCATAATAATTCCATTCTTTTGAGGGATACCTAGTAGTGGCTATGACCTAAGCCAGCTTGTAACTATTAATTTGAGAAATATGTTGTGGTAAAAGAGGGTATAGGACAAACAGGCTTCTCTATTAAATGCATGAAAAGCCCTAGGAAGAGCTAGGCAAGTAAAGAGGATAGCCTAAAAAGTGGTGAAAATGGTGGAAATTTGTTGTTGGTTCTCTTCCTTGCTCCGAGAGGTTGTCTTAATTTACTCTGCTATACAATGGAACCTCGACTTAATGAAGGGCCAAGGGAATGGCAAAATGTGTTTGGTATAACAAGGTCCTTTTTCATATATTTTACTATTACTGGGGTAAAACAAATTGTTCATTATACCAAGGACTTCCTTATATAGGTGTTCATCATATCGAGGTTCCACTGTAGTGGTAAAGGTAAACAAAATCTTTCAGCCACTTGTGCTATATGACTGACCAAATTACAATGATGGTATTTCTACTTTCTCAGTTTGTCTGCCGTTTGTTTGTTTTCTAATTTTTTTCTGCGTCAGCCATTTTTAAAATAGATTATCCTTTTAAAGTAATAAGGCCCTCTCGAATTGAATTTCCATTCTTGCTCACAGGGGTGATGGGGAGATAATTATGTCCCCAATCTGAATTTCAAAACCCAACTTTTCATGTGTAGAGGTAGCCATGGCCATAGCCATTACAAGTTTATTGTTTGATTTAAAATATAAATTTAATAACGGGAACTTTGCCTTTACTATTACATATGTATATTATTAGCTACTTGCTGCCTTGGGTGCTGAGGCCAAAAAAATACTGTCATTTGGAAATCTGCTCCCTTTCTTTTAAAGGATCAACGGTATTTCTTGCTTTCTCGCATAACAGCTTTTGGCCAGTCCAGTGGTATGAAACTGTTATACTTACATGCAAGAAATGCACTGGAATAAGGCGGACAAAGAGCTCGCCCCAATGAAAAAAAGAGAGGGAGAGTTCCAAATGGTAGTATTTTTTGCCTCAGCACCCAAGGCAGCTTGTAGCTAATAATATACAGTATATGTTTTTGTATACCCACTACCTCATTCCCACGTGTTACCTTTAAAATTATAGATAATGGGAAACGAGCCTGGCATTAGAAACCCAAAAAGTGAGGTTTAGCTCAAGT